GCCAAAGGCCACACATGGTATTTCTTTTATATGGACTGCTCGGAAGAGGCAAATCCTTAGAGACAGCAAGTGGAGTGGTGGTTACCTGGGGCTGGGGAGGGAGGGTTGGGGAATGACTACTAATGGGTCTGGGTTTCTTTTTAGGATGATGAGAATGTCCTACAATTGACTGTGACGATGGCTGCATAACTTTGTGAATATATTAAAAACTATTCAGCTGTACACTTTAAAAGGGTGATTTTATGATATGCGAACTCTACCTCAATCTAAAAAAAAGAAGCTCAAGAGGAGAATATTTTAGAAGGGAAGGGATTCAGGAAAGTTTGAACTCAGTGGGGTCTTAATGAACTTCAGAGGTCACCAAAAACAGGGTTTTTATAGTGGGCTCTGTGAAGCCTAAGAGATTGCTCAGAGTCCCGCAGAGAATTGTGGGTAGGTGGGGGGACTGGGGGGCAGTGAAGAAACGCAGAGGTGAAGAGAAATATGGTAGCTTGAGCTCTGGGTTCCTTCTTCCTTGATCCCCTGCCCCCCCCCAATTTAACCCAGAACAGCTCTGATTTTATTTGTTTCATATAAATAAATGAAACCTGGTCTTCTTGGTAAGGTTTGCAGAATTGATCCCACAACTAAAAACAGCCCGAATAAAACTAGAAGCATGCTATCATTTTACAGATGAGGAAACTGAGGTTGAAAGAGACTGAGTGACTTGACCAGACTGGTTGCAGCATAGCCAGGGCAAGAGTCCCAGTGTCTGGACACCCAAACCACACCTTCCTCAGGAGGCTGTCCTTTGTACCTCAGCCCTTCTCCTTAGCTCTTTGTGGACACTGAGCCTCTGGACCAGGGGTTCTCAAAATGTGGTCTCCAGACCAGCCAGTAGTATCAGCATCACTGGGGAATTTGTCAGAAATGCAATTTCCTGAACCACACCCCAGACCTATCAGAAACTCGTGAGGTGGGACCCAATAACCTGGGTTTTAAGAAGCTCTCTGGATAAGACTGACAGAGTCTGAAATTTGAGAACAACTGCTCCAGCTCATTCTCATGCGGCAAATGGAGCCAGGCAGAGAATCACCAGCACCTTGCACTTGACCCCAGGGCCTAGAATACACTCCCTGGGGAAAGGTATCCACTAAGACAACCAGTCAGGAGCAGAAGCTAACGGGGATGGCTGAGGAAGCCGATCTGGAGGGGAAAGAAGGTTAGAGATGATCTTGCCAGGAAGAGAATACCACCAACCCACATTTAAAAATGGAAGGTGCCGAAAGAGAAAATAAATAACGAATAAGGAGCAAATATAATTTAGTAAAAATTCTGAGCGTGTTAAGGCTGGTATCGAAAGATCTGATTTAGGAGCAATTTATGCCAATTGGCAACAACACGAGAGTTGCCAGAAATGTTTCTGAATTAATTCTAAATTGGTATATGAATATCTAGCTGGCTTAAGGCCATCAGAGAAAAATGATCACGATAGTCTTTAATCAAGCCCAAGTTGCTGTTTCTTTCTCCTTTACATTTTAAATACCACTTGCGAATTGGAAACTTTGCAAAGGACTAAACTTTCGGTCAGGGAAGATTCACAATCAATTCCGTCTAAAGAAAACGGGAAGTCTGTGATTTCTTGGAAATTCAAAGCCTGCTGGCTGGGGGGACTGGGTAGCAGGGTGACAGAACATTATACATCCCGGAAGTTGCCTGATGTAAGGAAGAGTGTTCCTCTGTTGTCCAGATGTTCCAAGTGACAAAATGCACTTCAAATGTGAAAATGACTTGCTTCCTGGAAAACAGATCTGTTGGCGATGCCAGCCTGTTCACTAAGGTCATCGAACTTCATCTGACTTCAAGGAACTTTATGGCCACCCCCAGCTCCAGCCAAGAATCACTTCTAAGTGACTGGCATCACCATCAGCAAATGCCTTAGAAATTTACTTAACAAACAGATCCCAAACATTCATCCGTGGCTTCATCCACAAATGTTAAGAGTATATTTCTGAAACTAGCAGACCAGGGTAGATGGAAGGAATTTGTGAAGTTTTCTTCTACGTGATCGATAAGAGGAGGGAAAAAAAAATCTGTTTTTTTTTTTTTTACCTCTTGGCCCATTTCCATGCTGCAAAGTTTTGTTGATTGAGCTTTGGCATCAACCATAACATTAAACATGGTGCATATTGACTGTGGGACTCGAAAATCTGTTGATCGACTGGTTTTTTGCAGCTTAACTTCAAATGCAATCCTGGTTCTATTAAAACAAAGTAGGAAAAGACCAATTCAGCATTCAGATGGCAGCAGGTGGAGGAGACATTTTCTGAGAGGTCAGTGAAAAAGAGAATTGAAGGCTGTAATCAGTTTCAATCGACAATGACTTCACATGTGTTCTTTTTCAAATGACTTTCCCGGCTAAGGAAGGCCTATTCACAGAGACAGCCACGCAAACCCCTCCTTTCTCGGCAGTACGTGGAACACCTGTAGCTTGGCGTTTTTCTGTCTATAGTTCACACGCTATGGAGAACCCTAATTGCAGGAGAATGAATCAATGAACAAAACTCCAATTACAGCAGCATTATAGCATGTAAAAGTTCTCTCACATCGGCAACTGCTTATCTTCAATCACTTCATTAAAAAAAAAACCCAAAAACAAAAAAGGAGCTTCTAATCTTCGAAAATCTCATGGGGGGAAATATCTTAAATGACAGTTAATCTTTCTTTTTTCTTTCTTTCTGATTTTAAGAGAGTGACGTGAAAAAAAAAATCCAACAAGCTTATTCTATTGCTTTAGAGACTAAAAAAAAATAAGATGGCTACCCTTGGGGAGGAGGGTGAAATTAGGAGCAGTCACACTAGGGGACTTGCAGAAGGTCTGTTTGTGTGCTTTTGCAACGTCAGTGTATTACTTCGCAATAAGGAAATATTATTTTTGTAAGTAAAACCATAATATACTTACCATTTCAAGAAATATGCAAAGGTGGAACCTTAATGTGATCTAATTTTGACGTAGGTCAAATTATGACCCAACCAATGTGCTAACTGCTCACAGGACAAACCTAGTCCAGCATATGGCCAGCGGGTAACACAGGGGTGAGATTTCACCCTTGATATCAACATCGTAAAGGGGACTGGTTAGATTTTTTAAAAGGTTTCGGAGAAGTGGGTCACATCAGCACGTGCTTTTAAAGAAAAGCACCTGGTCGGGAAGAGGTTTTGCAAAAGCTCCCTTCGCCCAGTGCGTCCTTTCTGCCTCGTTCACTGTCGGGTTCTGGAGATCATGCAGCCACCGGGAAAGCATTGCTTTAAGAGGTATTTGTAGCAGTTTTCTAACAGTGCACAGGGAGGACCACACAGCTAGTTCGCTCAGGAAGGGATGCCAGCTTGCTAACACACCCTGGGTGCATGCAGGGAAGCCAAGTATAATTTCTAAGGTTGGAAGCCCAGCTCTTAAGGGAAAAAAAAAAACAAACTTAAAAAAAAAACCCAACCCTTAAAACACTCCTATATATTATATGATCATGTTAAAGATAAATGTATCTTGGCTTCTAAAGGCTCGGCGCACTGAAGTAGCTTTCTAATCGTGATGATCATTTTAAGCTACGTCGCAAATACATCACTTTCTGGTTTTGCGAAAAGGAGGCCTGATGGGCCGGGACTGCGTTGGACAGGTCCCTGTGCTGATCTTCAGAGGTTTGGGGGCCAGTTCCGGCCCAATCTGAGACATGGAAATGCTAAATCACTCCCTTACAATGAAGTAATCGTCTTCTGTTCTCACGGGAGAGCTGTTCCCAGCCTGGGAGGGCGCGGCTGTGAAGAGAGGATGCTGAATGCAAGATGAATACGACTGAGGGGTCACTTCATCTACTTTGTCTCCAAGGGCAGAGTTAGGCTGCCTGATTTGCTGTGGAGCACGGTGCGTGACACGGACTAAACCAGAGGCTCTGTGAGTCCATCAAATGAATGATTTAAACTGCTTAGAAACCTGGAAATAAGGAGCGCCTGATTGACTTTTTGGCACTGCATATTTACATCCAAGAAATCATGCTCGTGTCCTTCTAGAACAAGGCCCTCTTGCTCTGTCCCAAAGAGGAAAGCAAACGTTCTAGGTTCTTGGTGTGGATTGAAAGTCTTAAAACATCCCCGGACTTTCTCATGCTTTACTCCCTTGAATCTGGAGGCCTGAGGGTGATACCTGCTCCTGTGTTGGCCCCTAGCTGCTTTTATCTGGGGCCTAAATTTAAAAGGACATTTGTGTGTCCCGGGCCAGGTGTACACGAGCAGTTGATCAACTTCTGTTAATAAAACGTTGCTTAACGGCTGCTTTGTGCCAAGCATGAGGCTGGGGCGCGGGGAGGGTCAGGATTCAGAATGAATTAAGATACACTCCCTTCCTTGGAGTGGCTCCCCCAGTTTGAGATGGCTGATCTGTAAAGACACGTGGTAAGGGAGACAAGAGAGTCACCGTCCACCTTTCACATCCATGTCTCTTTCTCCCTGTTTCTTACTCCCTACTCAGGACTCTGGCCTCTCAGAGAAGAGCATACATGTCTGTCCGTACAGTTGCGAGCACAGATCAGAAGCCACTAAGTGTTCATTCTAGTGCATTGTAGCCGCTGGTACAGATCAAGGGAGACTGCCCTGCAAGAAGTTTCTGGTGGAATGGTTTGGCTCTGGGGAAAGACTTACTTTTCCTAAAATTGATACAGACCATATAAGAAATGGTGGAAATTCAAACCCCTAAGGAAAGACTTTGACCTCTGAGTCTGAGAGCGAGGCCTGCCTCTGGTTCTAAGAGTGGGAAGAAAAAGAGCAAAACACAAAAACCTCCATCACCGGGCCTTTAAGCTTCCAGAAGAGCCATTGGACACCTGCCCGGATTCTCCACAGCACGATTCTCGCCCTAGTTCCTGCGGAGACGCTCCCCTACCTGCAACCGTGTTGTTCTTTTGCCCTTTCGGTTTCCAGTTTTGATGCTGTTACTTCTCTTTTCTTCCTCCAAGATAGAAAATCACAGATTCCGACCGCTCTCAGCCAAACCCAGCCCCCGTCACACACCAATGATCCATCAACTAAACTACACAACATCTGGAGACCTGGAGGGGCTGGAGCTGCCTGGGGGATTTTTTTTTTGAATGCGGAGAAATTATGGAACAGTTATGAACTGGAAAAGAACTTGGATGTGTGTCTGGGGATAGAGAGGGTGATGATAATGATGTCAAATCAGACGGATTTCAGTTCTGTCTCTGACATTCAGATGGAGACGCTCCCTGAGGGGAAGGGACGCGATCTCTCATTCTTCTTGATTCGCCAAGAACTTAGCCCCGTGCCCGGCACACGGGAGGAGCCCAGACAAGCTTTGCTGAATGGATGTGTACTGCCCTCATTCTTCTTCTCCTTTCTCAGCAAAGTCTACCTAGGAACTTCAAGGACCGCGTTCCCACCTCAAACCTCTATGCCATGGTCATAAAATGGGCCACTTGTAGAAAATCAAAATGCACATGTCATGCCTCCTGCTCCTTTGTTGATACTTGGCTAGATTCTGGGCACGGAGTGTGTGCTCCACTTCGAGCCAGGACACAGAGTGAGTGATGCTGCAGGGGTCCTGCCCACGGTGCTGGGAAGTCGAGGGATCCCTGCTCCCTGGCCTGGATACACCGGCTCCAGAAGTGGAGCTGCCTTTTTTTTCTCCCATCCAGCTATCCATCCACGCTCACACGCATACGTTTAACAAATATTCATCAATTAAATATTCTGTGCCAGACTCTTCTGGATACTGGGGATACAGACACAAGAAGGACCCTCTTCTCGTGCAGCTAAATGAAAAACTGGCAGCCACAGTGGGTTTGGAACAGAAGCTACAACTGGGTGACCACCACTCCAGCTGACTCGGACAAACCGTCACCTTCCCCAAAACCCTCCAAATCATGGCCACCTCTCAGAGTGGCCACCTTCCCGTCCCTGAGTCAGGGTCCCGGGCGCGAGGTGTGCAGGCCCTGTCCAGCCACCTAGGCTCACCTTTTGACACAAGATTCAATCATGTCACTCGCCATCAGCTTCAGCCGCTGCTCCAGGTGCTTCCCAAACTCTTCCTCGGGCCAGTGCAAGTCCCGAATGAAGGTCTGAAGGGCATCGAGTTTCCAGAACAGATCTTCTGAAGTCCCTGATCCGTTACTGGCAGGATAAGAATCAGAAAAATCAGAGTCACCCACTGCCGGCCTAGGGTTCTGAGAAAGCTAACACAAAAACAGCTAGGGGCTAGGGGGCTTAAGGCAAACAGTGGCTTCAACATACAAAACGACGCGTGTTGGCGGTGGAGGTGGGGGAGCTCTCCACCGGCCGATTTTGAGTTTTACCATACATGACTTGGTCGGCTTCGTTGGGCCAATGATTCCAGACCAGTGAGACGTCCGAGGGAGGTGCTGCCCCAGGAGGAGAACCATGTATGGTAAAAATCAGCCTTCTTTTAATAACCACATTAACACATGTGATGATTCGGATGAAGGCCACGAACCACGGGAGAAGTTAAGTCTCAGCGGAGAATAACTACATGGCAACATGCAGTTATTCAAGGTCAGGGTTTCATGCATTCCCCCGGCTCCTCTCCAGAGCAGGGGCCTCCCTCTTGGAGACTGCACAAGACTTTCAGTTTTAAAAGGACAGTGCTAACAAAGTGGTGGGCGAGGACCCGCTTTCTGCCTTGAAGAGCTGGGAAGAAACTGGGGTGACTCAAATCAAGACGAGTTCACCTGGAGACCTTGAATCCAAGATTCTTGTTCGGTTTGGTGATTAGTCCAATTGTCAGAGACCAGCCCGTGGCACGGGCCGTCCCAGGACAAGGTGAGGTCGGTGGGGAGCGGAGGTGAGTGGACAAGGGATATTTGCAAAGCTTTAGGGCTCAAAACCTGAGCTCTTTGACCGTTGCACCATCTTACCCAGTCCTCTGTACAGATGGAGAAATTGGTTTCGATTCCTTTCTGTACAATGACGTCTAAGACACTTTTACCAGGGGCATCGACGGAAAGCCTGTGTACGGGAAATGCCTCACCTCGCGCCCTCTCGCCCTTCTGTGGCTGGCTTTCTCTTTTGTGACAACCCCCTTTGGAGCTCTGAGGGGTGGCCACCCTCCACCCTCTTCCTCGCATACCACTAATGCTAACACGGCAGTTTATCAAATGTCCAACATACCATGCATTACCACTTGTTCTGACATCGTCTATAGAAACAGATGAGAGTGGGTGTTTCTATTGTGACAGATGCCAGCTGCATTGAATTAATGCTTCAGAGAGAGAGAGAGAGAGATACAGCTATAGTGCATAAATGCATACACAGCTACTGCGGGGAGGCGGGGGCAAACTCCCAACATGCCGGGAGGGCGTCTACGGCCTGGACCAACAGGGTAATGCTTTCAAGGACAGACCGGCCTGAGGTCAGTACGGAAGATGTATCTGACACGAAGGAGCAGGTAACATGGAAACACGTCCTTAAAATGAAAGGTGGCAAAGGAGGAAACTGAAATTATGAAAAGATATAGAATCAGGCATTTCCTGGTGGGTGACCGAGAATCTACGCCTTCTTTCCAGGTACTGCCATTCAGTGCTGTTCAAAAATGGGGGAACACATGGTTTCTCCATGGAGAGTCCAGCCTTCCCCTTGTCCTGTCCTCTGCTCGGGAAAAAGAAACCCCAACTTTGTCTAGTTCTAAACCCCGTTTTGGAACTGCACGGTTGTATGTTTTAAATCATTAAGTACATATGAATGCAATAATTGGTATTTATTACAACAACATTTTGACACCCATCTGGTTTCAGAGTTTCAAAAAATTCTTCTAGGGTTTTTTTTTTTTCTTTGAAGAGCTTATTATTAAGTTTTGACATGAGGAAAAGAATATTTTCTTTTTATTTTTAAGATAAACTGTTAATGTTAAGGCAATAGCACCAAGATTATTTTGATTGCTGAGCAGTTACCAAAATGTGTTCCCACTTATGCCTTAATTAATGGAAGGGAGACCATTATCTGCTTTATTACAATGTCTTGATTCATATCTTTTCAAAAACAGTGTCACAGAGCATGCACAGAAGGAGGTAAGAGAAGCTTTCAGATATTTATTTTTTTAAATTTTTAACAGAGACTACCTGATCTAACTTTTAATAGAGTCATCTTAGCATGAATATGATTCATTGGGTTTTTTTTTAAAAAGTTTTTTTCAGTATACTAAATTTTTGGTAGGTTTTAATTTGTTAACTTTAAAAAAAAA